TCTGCGCTGCCGAGAGCTCGATTCCTGGGCGCAGGATCTCACCCTCCCCAGCGTCGTCTGGATATCAGGCTTTTTCAACCCCCAGTCCTTCCTCACAGGTAGGAAAGCACATCACACAACTCATTAGTAATTTACTGCTACAGTAATTTTTATAATTACTGCCAGGAGGCTTCATTAAATTTGATCTAATGAATAAATATTGTATTTTCAACGTGATTACCAGCACAGCTTAAGCTGTGTGCCATAAACAATTATTTCCCTCAATACACAGTATGTCGGTGACTATATTGATTTTTTTATTATTATTATTTCACGAAGGGTTTACTGTATTTGTATCAGGGGGCACTCAATAATGGCTGAACGCGAAGTTGTCAAAAGGACATGCCATTGAAAGAGAAATAAAGGAAATAGCAATGGCAAAGAAGCTAAAATACTGTTAGTAAATATAATAGAGGTGTGTGTGTGTGTGTGTGTGTGTGTGTGTAAAATATGGTGTGAGGGAAATGGTGTGTCGATATGTGTGTGTGTGTATTTATAGGTTGGCATCCGAAAAGCTACTTTGCACAAGGTCTTAGGCTGGGCCAGAAAATTTATTATTTTAACCTTTTGCCATCCTCTGAATAGCACACTTTCATGTCACATAGCATAAGCTGTTTCGGGGGCTTTCCTATTTTAAAGGGAGGGGGTGCCGCTTTCAAGAGACAGCTACCCAAAGCAAGTTTAAAATCTCTTTTTTTGTCATTTAGGTACAAATAATCCATTTTGCTGTATTCCAGCCTCGAGACATAGCTGCTTAATTCAAGACTCTGTGGGACAAAGCAATGTTTTATTTTGAAATCAGCATAGGCATTAATTCTGATAGTTGTGGCGGCTGGAGCTTAATTTCCTGTGCAAGCAACTCTCAGCACACTGTGGGCTGGTGCAATCCCTGGCACCCACAAATCTGTATTTAGTGTTTGATCCATAAATTATTGCAATGTAAGCCCAGATTTCATGGTAAAAGACCTACCTCGCAATGGAAATGTCAGCTGCTTTTCTTTTAGCACTGAGACCCAAGCATCAAGTTCAGAAACATGGCATGATAATACCGTATTTGTCTGTGTGTAAGACAATGGTTTTTTGCTTTAAAAAATTAGTCAAAAATTGTCTTATACACGGATGGTGAATGCACAGGGGTTTGGGCTCGGACTCTGGTGTGGGTGGCCTGGGCTCGGGTTCAGGTTCTGGCATGGGCAGCCCAGGATCGGTGGTGGTGGGTGGGTGGGGGGCAAGCTTGTGGTCGGTGAAAAAAAGCTCAACAGCTTTGTGTGCAGTCACCCAAAAAACCTCAACAACTTTGGTCATTTTCCCTGACTGCCACTGATGTTTAAATATATGGTAATAAATATACCAGTGCGTTGAATATTTAAGATAATATCAAAGTAGTTCTGTTTGATGTTTAAAATGCAGATTTCTTAATTATGGGTTCAAAAAAAAATAGGGGTTGTCTTACACATGGAAAAATACAGTAATCCTTGCCCAACTTGTCCCATCACTGCATGTAAGATTGTCAAATGCTCCCTTACATTAGAAATGGCTCTGTTCAGCAGCCATTGCTTGCCTCTGGCTACCCGTTGCAAGGAATCCCAAGTGTGCTGGTTGACTCTGGTCCCATTGACATGTGGTTGGCCCCTGGACTTTAGTCCTGAACCAGCCTATGGAAAGCCATATCAGAGCAGAGCTTTCAGTGTGGCAGTTTCTTGTGGGGGATGGACAATTCAAACATGCCGTGTGGCACAAATTCTGCCATCTTTGTCAACTGGCTGTCGCCATGCCAAGGGCAACATCCAATCTGTCATTGCCCCACCATTGCCTGATACCATTTCTCTGCATAGTTTTGGTATGTTTGATGTTAGGCTAAAAAGAAAATGGCGGCAAGGAAACCTTTTTGTGGTGCTTCTGAAGCGCTTTCCAGCTCTGTGCCTTTCTTTTCACTGAACTTTGTAAGAAAGCTGGTCTAAACCTGTCCACGCCAGACGAAAAGGAATGATTTCAGGTTCCATTGATCTTATGAAGCTACTTTATGTATCAAGTCAAGTCTATGGTCCACCTAGGGCAACAATGCGGAACTTGTAGGCCTCCAGATATTGACATGCTAGAATCCCCATCACCCCTGGGCTGCAATGACTGGGGCTGAAGGGAGCAGGGAGGCCCAACATCTAGAAGGCTGCAGGTCTCCCCTCCCTAACCTACTGCAGTGGTGTCTATGACTGGAGTCCTGGTTCTCAGGCCGCAATACCTTTTCCGGTCCTCCCCCCTGCTCCACATGATTTACTTTTACCTTGACATGCCAGGAATGAACCTAGGCAACATCTTGCATGCGGAGCACACGTTCTTCTTCATTTTACTTGCTCAGCTCATCTGGTGCCTCCGCGCTTTTATTTCAGCTGTCATGCAGAGTCTCGCCCATAAAAACGAATGGCCTTTGGATAAGATGCACATAACGGTGGACGTCACCAAAAAATACAAAGAGGAGTTTACGCAGCCTGCTAGAGAAGGGGCTTACATACACGGCTTGTACTTGGAAGGTAAGTGACTTGCAAGGATTTGCGGCTGCTTAAAAATGGCGGCATTATAAGCTACAGGATGTTTATCTGAAAAGCTTCTGTTAAGGCGTTATTTTTAAAAATAGAGCCACCTCCCTATTGCCTTCAAGTTAAGAATTAGGAGTTCTCAGCTGCTCCTTCACTTTTTCCTTTCACGGCCACATTTCTCACCTTTCATGATGCAACTTTGTGTTGAAGCACTAGCCTGTTAGCCATAGGGGACTCCTCTGCGTCAAATGGTCCCCCATGCAGTGCACCTAGCATCAAAACACAGGACACAGCTTTCAGCCCCACTTCTGCCAGCAGGCTCATAAGCTTTTTTTAGTACGGTAGTAACTTTTATGGGCTCGTTCCCAGGCTTTTTAAGGGTGCAATCCTATGGTCCTTGAGAGTATTCCAGAGCCACAGATTTTTGCAAATGGATCTACTCATGGAGAATAGTAGTAAAAATGTTTCGACTCAATTGTTTTAATGCGTTTTTATTTTAGTGGTGTGGGTATAATTCTTTCCTTGTAAACCGCTTAGAAGCCATTTTTCACATGCAAGAGGTATGCAAATATGATGGAAACTTCTGTGGCTGCCCACAGTGGGGTGGGGAAGCTTTGGGTCCATGAAATACAAAGCCCTCCTCTTCTGGGGCCAGAGCTAGGGTCCAACAGGAAAATGAAAGGGGAGATGAAAAAACTACCCCAGCAGGTTGGTGACTCCTCCCCCCTGTGTTCTGCTTCTACGCAGGGTTTATCCAGAGATTATTTTAGCTTTTATTCCTACACCATGGGGCTGTTTTATTTGGTCAGCTCCTAGTAGGAATTTTCCACAAGACACACTACAAGGCTGGCATTCATTCTAGGCAGGGGGTCAGCAAACTTTTTCAGAGGGGGCCAGTCCACTGTCCCTCAGACCTTGTGGGGGGCCGGACTATATATATCTTTGGGGGGGGGAATGAACGAATTTCTATGCCCCACAAATAACCCAGAGGTGCATTTTGAATAAAAGGACACAATTCTACTCATGTAAAAACACAGATTCCTGGACCGTCCATGAGCCAGACTGAGAAGGCAAGTGGGTCGGATCCGGCCCCCGGGCCTTAGTTTGCCTACCCATGATTCTAGGAGTGCTGGCTACCTTCCAGTGGAAATGAATCCTGTCTGAATGCATTATACAACCCTATCCGTTATCAGGTGTTGCGTGGCAAATGGGCACACATTACTAAATAGAGATGAATATGCTCTGAAAGAGACCAATAAAGGAATTAAGGGGTTTTATTTATAAAACTGCATTTGGAAAATATTGATGGCTAAATCCCCCCTCTCTCAATTTTAATTATTGACAGGTGCTTGCTGGGATGTTCAGGGGGGTCACATAGCTGAAGCTTGCCTGAAAGCACCGACAGCAGCTATGCCTGTTGTGTTTGTAAGAGCCATCCCCAACGACAGGCAAGAGACAAGGAATATTTACGAATGCCCAGTGTATAAGACAAAACTAAGGGGCTCCACTTACGTGTGCACTTTCCATTTGAAATCAAGGGAAAGGCCAGCTAAATGGATTCTTGCTGGCGTTGCTTTGCTTTTAAGTGTGTGATGTTGCTTGAGTTTAATTTCCCAAAACTCTTCGGCATTTCCGTTCCATCCCCTGCTTGCTTGCTCCCTCCCTGTAGTGACTCTGTGTGCACGCACAACAGCATGATTTGGGGGTGTATTTTTGTGTTGTTGTTTTTTAAGGCTGCGAACATTGTGTTGCTGTATCTGTACATTCTCAAGCATTGTTAAGAATGCGGGGCTTTCACTTCTTGCCTGTTAAGAATCAGTTAAACACCAACGCTGCTGCTGTTATTATTATAAAATTGGTTTACCGCCCTCTTCCCGTAGATCTCAGGCGGTTCACAACATAAATTAGAATAGGGAAAAAAATACATAATTAGTGAAAGAACAATAATCCTCCCCGCTTGTGCAACACATTTAAAACGGTGTTGCCTGCGCTGTTTTTCAAACAACTGAACTGGAAGAGCAAATAAATGCACAACTGTTCCAATTCCAACCACTAGCTTCTGCTAACAGTCTCCTTAATGCCTTGATTATGCAGATGTAGACAAGAGCTCCTCTATTTGCAAGGCTTCTCTCTTGGGGAAGCAAGCTGTACATTCCTTTGTCAGCCTTCCTGAGCTTTGGTCCACAGATGCTGCTCAACTACAGCTCCCATAATCTCTTGACTCCTGGGGGGTTATAGCCCCAAAACATCTGTGGACCTAGAATTGCTTTTGTGAACAAACAGAACATTTAGTGTCTTTTGCTAAAATGAACTGAGACCTTGAGGCACACACATAACACAGAAGCACATGTGCATTAGACAATACAGCGCAATGCTAGTGACACAAATCACCATGTGCAGAAACGTTTTAAAAAAAGAGAATGGTAATTATTTCTAGGCAAGGTTTTTATTATCAAAACTACACTTTGTACATAAGAGCTCTGTAGATCACAGGATCCATTTACAGTATGCATAACTAACAGTAGTCTTTTGCTATGCTTGAAGAAAGCCAGAGCAGACATTGCATAGGATCTAGCATATATACAACAGCATCTTTGAACAGGTTTTGAACTAGGTTTTTCTTGTATGATAAGGGAACTTCTACAAAAGGTTGAAAAAGCAGAACGCATGTGAGAATTTTATATCCATGTCAAAAAAAAAAAGAAGATGCAAAATAGCAGATTTTTACCTTCCAAAAATGTATGATTGGATAGCAACCCTTCCCCCACATCCCATCCACACAAGGAATAAGGTTTTCAGCAACCATTTTTAGTATACAGTGTCACACATGTAGAGAACTGCGGACAGCATTACAAGCAACAACTAAGTGGTAAGTTGCTTTTGTCCTACCAAAAGGACACCTTTTACGTTCTCAAGCAACTTTAAGGTTTAGGAACACAATTCCCGCCTGTTGTACAAGAGTCCGTATCAGTGTGAAATTTTGTAGCCATTATTAACTGTTTGAAGTGTAAGTCCTGTGGCCTATTAACTAAATGCACTTTGAAACATACAGGACTATCAGCTTCTAGATCAGTCTACGTTCATCAACCTGCTCCCTTGCGTGGATGAGCTATATATACATACCATGAGCATGAGAGCAAGCTGCTGGCTTATCACCCAGCCAGCATAAAGTACAATGCAAGGCTTAAGCGTATATAACTATACCCCCTGTTCATGCAACGTGCAAGATCCCACACACAATAGCTCCATGTTAGACATTATGCCCTATGCATGTGATGGGTTAAAAGGACTTGCTCCTGCATGAATCACCCCAAAATTTAAGACATACATGGTTTTCCATCGCATATTTCAGATCAAGCCCGCAGCAACACAGCGGCTTTAAGAACTTTTAAGACGTTATCAGCAGCTAAGTTTGTTCATCCTTTTTTAAATCTACTATTTGGAGCACTGTGTAACATTTATTAATCTATTCAATGCTTTGTGATGGATAAAAACAACTAACTGCTTTCTTGAGCATGAAGGATAAACTGTACCTTTATAGCTCTGGATTCAAAGCGGCTCAACCCCCACCAAAACTTTCAGTTTAGGAAATGTCACCTTTGTCACTGTCATCTTCTCCTGCAACATCCGTTAAGACTAACAGTATTTCCAGTCAGATTCCCGATTTCTCTGGTTTGTTGCTAAATCTAAAAAAGGGTGATATATCAGGATGAGAAACCCCTAAAGGATGAACCGATGTTGTGATGACAGCAGCTCCAGACTGCAAGATATAGAAACACTTAACCATGTAAATCCCTTAAGTTGTGTGGAGATTCACCCCACCTGCTGCTTGGCTTAGTGAGATTCAGGAAAAATCAACTGTAGGTATCTCTTTCTGCAAGTTTCAACCCTTGTGTGAAGCCACACTGTGGCTTAACACACGTAACAACTAATTGCATCCAGCACAAAAGGAAAACTGCTACCTAACGGAATTAGAAATTCACACCCCGTAATGTGGAACTTCAGCCAAATGCCACAAAGGGTTTTGTTCTTAAAACTTGGGGGAAAATGAATGCTGTGTTAAAAAACAGCAACCAACACCTTCAAAACAAACAAACAACCTTAGCGCCAGTTTTGCCGATGACCATAGAACCACGTCCAATTTCATTCTTGCATTTCAAGTTCTTGTTTCAGGCTGTAAATTTGATTTAAAAAGGGCGGAATTATTATTTATAAACAAAAACAAAGATCACCAATAATCTAACCCAGCATTTAGTGAAAAACCCATCCTTCCAGCTCTTTGTTTTTCATGGCTCTCATTCGTAGATGGTGGGCTGAAACTGGGGCCTTCTGCAAATAATCCACACCATTCACCAATCTGTTTGCGCCCTCCGAACAGACTGACATTTGCATAACGAAAGCAAAGGAAACCAGACTAATAGACTAAATTTTACAGCCAGCAGATCATGCACGCAGCCTTAACGATAACCCTCCGAGGCCATTCTCTAGGTGCCCCGAGTGCAAAAGGTGGTTATGAGGAAGATGGGACCTTTTCAGTGGTGGCACAAGTAATAAAATGGCCTTCCTCAGACAGGTACGCCTGGCAAAGGTGAAAACCTTTCCCCATCTTCACCATCCTAAAAACCTTTCAAGGTATTTTGTACTGATGTTATTTTTTGTTGTGCATTTTACTCTGGGCTTTATTCTCTATATATTCTCTGGCTTCTTTATTCCACTCCTTATGTTTTATTTTTTAACCGTATTTTTTGCTCCATAAGATGCATCTAGTTTTTAGAGCGGGAATTCCAGAAAAAAAAAATTATTTAAAGGGAGCGCTGAGCAGAGCCTGGGATGCATATAGGCTCTTGCTTGGCGTTCCCTTTAAAGAGCTGCATGGAGCACGTTTGCGGCTCTTGGGGGCTTTTCCCCAGGAGGAAGAAGGGACTGACACACTCCACGCGGCTCTTTAAAGGGAGTACTGAGCAGAGCCTCCCTCCTGCATTCGCTCCATAAGATGCACACACATTTCCCCTTACTTTTCAGGAGGGAAAAAGTGTGTCTTACGGAGCGAAAAATACGGTACCTGTGGGTTCAACTTCTTAGTCATAAATTGCTCAAAGAACCTTTTTTAGTCAATAAATAAATAAATGAAAACTCCGACAAAAGACAGGAGAATTGGGTGGAAAGGAGAGAAGCCCAAAGTTACCTTTTCAAGTAAGCATGGACGTTGTCATAGCCATGGTACTTGGCCAGGTAAACAAGCACACCTGTAGCACATCGTCCTTCCCGCTGCCTGCAGAAGCTGCAGTTGCAGATGCCACGGCAAGGTGGGCAATGCCAGTCCTAAAAGAGGGAGAAAGAAGAGAGGAGAAGGAATGTGTTTATAGTAATTCTGGAACGACTCGCTGCTTTGGATTGTAACATTAAAGCACCCATCTATTAAACAAAACACAGGAGCTCAAATGATTTCTTTGTGAACCCTACCCTGTCAAGCAAGCCCAAGGTCATTCACCAGCAGGAACAGGAGGCATGGAATGCAATTCTTATTAATGGAAAATAACATCACAGTACAGTCCCCTGGCTCATCTTAATCCAACTGGAGACGCTGCTGAAACTGGCCACTGGCCACACGCCCTTCCCTAGCTTCTCACTCGAGATCCCTCCCCCAAGTGGAAGAAGGCTGCATCAAGCAGGTGGGTTCCTCCTGTACACCTGTCTGGCCTGTTGCTCGATCCGTGTGTCAGCAGGACTGGGAGGGTCCTGCCGCTGGATAGCAAAGGCAACCTCTGCCTCCTCTCTGTCCTCACACTGTGACTCTCAGCCTCTAAGCCTGACCTAGAAGGGCCTCCTTTTCCTGGCCGCCCACCCTTGCTTCTAGCACCTCCCAGCTCATCTCTTCCCCAGACTGCTCCTCAAGTGTCCCACCACCAGGATCTGGGGTCTAAGACGTCATCTAAGAACCCATCCATGAGGTGGGTTCTTGGGTGGGCAGCTCCCATCACTCTTCCTCATTCAGCCAGTCCCTGACACTGCCACATCGTCAAAACGAGTAAACAAATTACCGTATTTCTGCTCCATAAGACGCACCTGACCATAAGATGCACCTAGCTTTTAGAGGAGGAAAGTTCTGTTTTTTTTTGGGGGGGGGAATCAGCTCACAGTTGTGCAGCTTCTTTTGCAAAGGGGAAAAGCCCCGTTTTTTTGAGGATCTGCTCAAAGTTGTTGAGCTTACTTTGCAAAGGGAAAAAAATCCCATTTTTATGGGGTTCAACTCACAGTTCTGCAGCTTCTTTAGGAAAAGGAGGGAGCAGTTTCTACAGTTTCCAGACAGATAATCTAATCAATCACATGTCGCTGGGGAAACAAACAGCCTCTGTCTGCAGAACATTCAACAATGGAGGCCTGGGCAAGGGGGCGGAGCCGGAAAGGGAGCCAGTGATCGACCACACATTCGCTCCATAAGACGCAGATATTTCCCCTTACTTTTTAGGAGGAAAAAAGTGGGTCTTATGGAGCGAAAAATACGGTAAGCTTTATCTTACCGGATCCAGCAAAGCAGTCCTGACTTCTTCTCCATAGCGGTTGCGTAGGCAAGGTCCACAGAACTGTCCGCGCACTCCCAAACATTCTGGATTGCGACAGTTTGTCTTGGTGTCTATAGTCTTCTGCCGACACTGATGGCAAGTGGAACCCTGCGAAAAGAACGACGCGGGCAAATGAAACTGGACTCTTCCTTCTTCTTTTTCCCCATTTCCCTACCTCACTGTCTGACTCAGTAGCAAGTCACAGGTTACATACAATTCAGCTACTAAAATGGAAATTCAGGTGGGAACTGAAGAGTGCAGAAGAACAGGATGATTCATGATTCATAAGAGTTTCCAAAACATGGTATGGCATTGTATCTGAGCAACATGTTCTATTCATTAAGGACACTACTGGCCTCAAATCCAGAGGTGCTACACATTCACAGATCCTCTTAGGTCAACTATCTAGCATCAGGTGATTGATACTTCTCAAAGTGGGGTGCTGCCCAAATGCTGTACAACAGTGTTGTGGGTGGTTACAGGGACTAATGATGGGCAATGCCTGAGAAACCCTTTTTGGCCAAACTTGTACAGTGGTACCTCGGGTTACAAACACTTCGGGTTACAGATGCTTCAGGTTACAGACTCCGCTAACCCGGAAGTAGTACCTCGGGTTAAGAAATTTACCTCAGGATGAGAACAGAAATCGCACAGCGGCGGCGGCAGTGGGAGGCCCCATTAGCTAAAGTGGTACCTCAGGTTAATAACAGTTTCAGGTTAAGAACGGACCTCAGAAACGAATTTAAGTTCTTAACCAGAGGTACCACTGTACTGCCCCCCCCAATGTAATATCATCAGGTGTAGAGCAGGGGGTGTGGCTTGGCAGGCCAAACCTGGCCCCTGGGTGGGCCAGACATTCCCCATCTTTGTCCAACATAAAGCAAAGAAAGCAGAGCTATATGCCTCCTTCTCCCCTTCCTACAGCTCCAAGTTGCCCCGTTAATCTTACTGATCATCTGCAAAGGGTCGGTGACTCTCCCATAAGACAGGGAAACCTGTGGCCCGCTGGACACTGTTGGGCCTCAACTCCCATCAGTCCAGACCACTGCACATTGTAGCTGGAGCTGATGGTTTGGAGCCTAGCAGCAAGTTCCGCAGTCCTGCCAGAAAGAGCTTCTCGGTTTTGGAATAAGGAGCAGGGAAACTTCTAAGTGTAAGGAGCTACTGCCTACTCACACAGAACATTTAAACTTCATTTTATCTGGGCAGAGCAAATGAATATGCTGGCACAACACTGGCGTTCTTACCGTCACACGATTATACACTTTATCTCTTGCGCTCTCACAGATACCATTCAACTCTTCCTCACTGATTTCTTCCACTGGGCGGATAACATGGGGGAGAGTCATAGAACTTTTTCTTCTGGGACCATCCGATTCATCCTGTAGAAAAGCCCAAACATATCAAATTAAATATTTCTCAAGTTAAGCCACACACACACGCACAAAAAAAAAACCCTCGCCAGTAACACATATGCAGTGGTTTCAATGAGTTTCCGATACATCCATCCTTCAACTTGTTCTTGTCTGCATGGAGAAGCAGCAGAGGAACTTGCACTAACACACCCTCTCCGCAGAAGTCGAGCGCCCACATTAATGACAGCAGGATGACGCAACAGAAGGAATCATTGCTATGCGCTTCCTCCAAGGACTTTTGTTTTCCGGAAATGTTGTCAACAGTGCTATGTATGAGAACCAACCCAATCACGTCCAACTCTGGGCATGTATGCCCCTCTCAACAGATGAAGGAAATCTTTTGTCTCACTTGTTAGGCTCATTGTGGTCTTCATTGCTTAATTAGTTATGTATTCTTCAATGCTTATACAGTGGTACCTTGGTTCTTGAACGTAATCCATTCCGTATGTCTCTTTGACTTCCGAAATGTTCAAAAACCAAGGTGTGACTTCTGATTGGCGCAGGCGCCCCGGAAACAATAGCCGACAGCAGAATCGGACATTCAGCTTCCGAAAAACATTCGAAAACCGGAACACTTACTTCTGGGTTTTCAGCTTTGGGAGCCGAAATGTTTGAGTACCAAGGCATTTGAGAACAAAGGTTCCACCGTAATTAAAACTGAACTTTAATTTGCGTTTGAACCACGCAGGTGAAGTTTATATTTTAGAGGTTTCTACCACTTCATGCGCTCTAAATTAGAATAAAATCAACAACTCAGACCTCAGAGTATTCATCAGACATTTTCCTTCTCACTAAGTAGTACGGATCCTCCTCCTCATCCGCCTTCTCCGAAACAGGGCTTGGAGGACCTTCGATCAGGGACCTGGATCTTGTGTGAGGCCTGGCATTTCTTTCTGGATTCCTCCTTAAAGAACGCCTGGGAAATGATTTCCTTGGAGATCGCTGCGGTTTCTGTAATAAAGGACCAAAAAAATCATCAAAGCACACCATACAGAAATAAAATTTTCATTGTTTTTCCATCTCTTAGATACAGCTCTAACTAACAGTGCATTGCTAGGCACAATTTTAATGTGCCATGTTCAATGAAGTTTACTCCCAGGTAAGTGTGCACAACACTGCAGCCTAAACCTCAATTCAGGCATCATTTACTTAAATATCTAAAAATTGCATGTTTGGGATAAAAACGTAAGAAAAGGCGTAAGAAAAAAAACACATAACAAGGCAGTTAACATAAAAACATACTAGTACAGTAAAATAAATAATAATAATAATGACTGGTTGGTGGGGGGAGAAACACATTTTGAAGGCCTGTCTAAATGGGACCAGTTTTAAAAGACATCTAAAACAATTGGTCCAACACATGGCCCCCAGTGCCTTTTTTGGCGGCCCTCAGCAACATTTGACACCCCCCCAAGTCCTCGTGCTGCCTTCCCAAAGCCTTAAGTGAGGCACTGGGCTTTAGGATTGAGGTGTGAGAGCTCTGACAGGGTCCTAGAATCCTCCCTCTACCTTCCCAAAGGAGAGTTAGCACTTTCCCAACTTTAGGAGGGAGCTGGGAGGGCTCTAGGACCCTGCCAGAGCCCTGTGCCCCCTTCTCAAAGCCCGAGACCTCACTTGGCCGGCTTTGGGAAGGCAGCACAAGGGCTTGGTGGGGGTGTCAAATTTTGGCCCTGCTCCTTCCACCCCTGGGCATCAAGCCCGTGTGTGGCCCGCGGCTTCCATGTTGAAGTACTCTTGCAGCCAAGTTGGTATGAAAAGTTGGACCACCCCTATCTAAAAGAAACAAGGGATGATTCCTTCCCAACTCCTACTGGCAGGGCATTCCACACTAAGGGCTGGCTGCTTGGAAGGCCGACCAAACCCTAGGAGCATGGGTTAAGTGCCCTCATTGGAAGATCTCAGTGATCAAGTTAAAAGTGTAAGGAACCAGACACTATGGTTTGTGCTGGCTGTACTTCAGAACCCAAACCATGCCTGCCTCCAAATAAAAATAGTGGCAACCATGGTTTGGAGTGCTTTATCCACTTCCACTTTCCAGCCACTCAACATTCTTGCTTCTCTGATGCAGCTTCCCCTCTGGAGCAGGGCAACCTCTGAAGACATTAACTAGATACCACACTGAACCATGGTTAGGCTTCTTTAACCATGGTTTACTATGCTGTACTAAAAGGTAAAGGGACCCCTGACCGTTAGGTCCAGTCATGGACGACTCTGGGGTTGCGGCGCTCATCTCGCTTTAGTGGCCAAGGGAGCTGGTGTACAGCTTCTGGGTCATGTGGCCAGCATGACTAAGCCGCTTCTGGCGAACCAGAGCAGCGCAGGGAAACGCCGTTTACCTTCCCGCCGGAGCGGTACCTATTTATCTACTTGCACTTTGACGTGCTTTTGAACTGCTAGGTTGGCAGGGGCAGGGGCCGAGCAATGGGAGCTCACCCCGTCACGGGGATTCAAACCGTTGACCTTCCGATCGGCAAGCCCAAGGCTCAGTGGTTTAGACCACAGCGCCACCCGCATCCCATGCGGTACTAAATGGGCTCAATTCACTATCAGCGGAATATGAGACAAACCAAGCTGGAGGAAGCAAGGGGAAACCAAGGAACAATGGCGTACGGTTGAGTTTTGGCAGAAGTAAGAAAACCATATAGGTCTTACAGTTTTCCTTCTCTGCACAACTCATGCACAGAAGAGAAGTCCGTCCACTACAAGTATTCGCATGAGGCCTCAGAATGGAATACAGACTTCCAGCTTCCCAGCGGCTTTCTCAGTGGGGCAGAGCAAAGGCAATAGTCTCCCAACAGCAGCATCGCTGCCACTTACCAGAACAGTGAAGGGAAAGGCAGTGGCAAGGTCAGGGCAGTGGCATAGGTAGTAACACTGCATTGGCTTTACTGGTGTACAGTGGTACCTCAGGTTACATACGCTTCAGGTTACACACTCTGCTAACCCAGAAATAGTGCTTCAGGTTAATAACTTTGCTTCAGGATAAGATTAGAAATCGGGCTCTGGCAGCGCAGCAGCAGCAGGTCCCATTAGCTAAAGTGGTGCTTCAGGTTAAGAACAGTTTCAGGTTCTCCGGACCTCCGGAGCGAATTAAGTACTTAACCTGAGGTACCACTGTACTGCAAACCCCAACCACCACACCATCAAAATCAATGGGCTTAAGCATACAAAGCAGACCTCAGTGACCGTTGTCTATCATCCAAATACTGTTTGCATGCAGGGAAAGTCAGGAGATCAATTATTTGAACTTTAGACTCATTTTTATTTCTACGCAAGCGCGTAGGTAAAATATGCAACTGAGCAGGACTTTGCTTTGTTTGTTTTAGATATAAAGACTTGCAGGTGCTTTTAACTGAACTGAAATATTAGGGAGTGACCAATTAAAAAAACAACTAGTAATAGCAGGTGGCGGCATTTTTTATCACACAGTTAAGTTCTAAGGAACTGGAATTCACTGCATTTGGCTTATCAAGTTACAGTGGTACCTCAGGTTACAAACACTTTGGGTTACAGACTCCGCTAACCTGGAATTAGTACCTCGGGTTAAGAACTTTACCTCAGGATGAGAACAGAAATTGTGCGCCGGCAGTGTGAGGCCCCATTAGCTAAAGTGGTACCTCAGGTTAAGAACATTTTCAGGTTAAGAATGGACCTCCGGAACAAATTAAGTTTGTAACCAAAGGTACCACTGTAAACTGTAAATGACTTTTTAAAAACAACAAGAAGTAAATGATTGCGACTTACCAAAGTTGGAGTTGCCAGGGGACCTTTCCTTGTAAAAATTCCAGGCACGTTTTTTAATTCTGCCATTAGTTTTGCAAGCTGTAAAAGGTAACATAGAATGTAAGTGGTTTCGTGTCAAGAAGTTTATGCTACTATGGGATTTTGACGGGATGTTAATTCAGAAACATCTCACCAAGGATGGCCAAGCCAGTGCTAGCAGGCACCAGGGTGGTGGCCCGCCTGTATCTACAGTGGTACCTCAGGTTACAGAAGCTTCAGGTTACAGACTCCGCTAACCCAGAAATAGTACCTCGGTTCAAGAACTTTGCTTCAGGATGAGAACAGAAATCGCGTGCTGGCGGCAGGCCCCATTAGCTAAAGTGGTACCTCAGGTTAAGAACAGTTTCAGGTTGAGAACGGACCTCCAGAATGAATTAAGTTCTTAACCCGAGGTACCACTGTATTTACAAGTGGTAGACTCTGAGTTCATCAGTGGAAGGGCTTTTCTGAATGGGGTGGGGAGTGAGAGGTGTTCAATTATGTTGAAGAAGAGCCAGCCCTTCTTCACTAAAGCCTTTTGGAACTGGTTCCTGATGGGAGTCCAGCCTGAGACTAATCATTCAGAAAGTGTACAAGGGCTATTTAAGAGGTTCTTTAAACCAGGAAGATGGACAGCACTAGGTATGTGGTTGGATAAATCCTATTTCAAATCAAGTCACTTGACTGCAATTTCAGAAATGTTCTAAGAATGGTAACAAATAAAACTGGGTAAAAATATTTTGAATGGAGTGGCATGTAGAATACCATGCGCAAATGGAATATTAAGAAGCGGCACATGTTTTTATTAATGCAATGGAACTCTAGCTCATTACGTTACAACTTGGTCAAGAAAAACAGCAACAATTCAACATGCATGAGGACATTTCTTTGTACCTACCATGGCCTTATTCTCCTTTATATTTAAAGCCCTTTTCTCTAAGAATTTTGGGCCTCTTTCTTCATCGGAATCAGAGTCCAATTCCAGTTCGGAGGGAGGTTCTGGGGCTAAAATTATTTCGCTCTTCCCCCTCTTAGATCTTCGAAGTGGAAACTTCATAGCAACTTTAAGAGGAACAGAGCACTTCCGTGGCCTCTTACATGAAAATTTATCTCCGTCGCTCATATTTTCCTCCGAGTCTGTATCCAGTTTCTATTCAGGGTTTTAAAAAAAATGGGAGTTGTGAAATCAAGAGTTAGTTATGGTTGCAACAGGATCCACCATCTCAATTATGGCTTCTCAGAACCATTCCAAATTCAAGTGCATTTACATCAACAACCAAGGTTAGCTTGCAGAAAGCACAAGTTGTCTCACTGTACATAAACCTGGTTTTGAGGAAGCCGCCTCATTCTCCCTTCAGATTGACTTTGCTAATTTTTTTAAAAGGTCCAAAGCCAAAACTTCTATTTTGGAAGAGCCAAAAGAGAAAAACAGGGGAACTGCAAAGCAGCGTATAACCACAACAGAGCAATCAAATCACGTTATTATTATCATTATCATTATTATTAGTAATAGTGCAGGTCTCCACAAGAACAACAACCAGCCCCCATGGGATATCACAGTATTTCTAAAACCATTTTTCTTTAGTAAGGAGCAGCCTCATGTCCAACACAGGACTGCATGTGGCAGAGAAATGCTTCTTTCTACCAGTTGGCAAGCCTCACACTCACCCTGAAGCCCTTCTTTGTGTACCACCTCCATGAGAAGCCTGGAGGGTGGGGCAACAGAAGAACAGGCCTGTTCTGCGGTGGCTTCATTTGTAGAACGCTCTCCCCAGTAAGGCTCTCCGGGTGCCATCATTATATATATATATTTAAGTGCCAGGCAAAATCTTTCTTCTATAACCAAGCCTGTGGCCTTGGAAAAGTGGTTGGGGGTGTTCTAATATATTTCTTTTCCTCTAGGTTTTAATTTATCTATATGGGTGGTTATTGTTGTTTTTGTCTGTCTGTCTACTTCGTCGTAAACTGCTTTAGGTTGCCCTGGGCAAGATAAAGTGACTGACAAATTCAATAAACGATAATTAAATGTGAAGTCAGGTGTGGGCCGGAAAAGACATGGCTGCAAAAGGACAACTGAGAGCCATAAAGAGCACATCTGATTACTTCTTGGCCAAGGGAGGCTTTCTGTGAGCACCAATCAGCTGATCAGCGCAGGACAGCTAGTCTCACTGGGATTGGCTGCCCAAAGCACAGTTTGCTACAAATGCCAATATTATTTGATTTAAGCTGAACAAGGGAGCAGGCTGCTTCCGTGTGCAATCAATTGCTGGCTCTCGATTCCCAAGACTTACAGCACAATCCTAACCATGTCTACTCAGAACTAAGTCCTACTGAATTCAATGGGGTTTGTTCCCAGGTAAGTGAGATCAGGATTGTAGCTTTAGTCAATCATCATGCATTAGCTTGCAGAGTATTATTTTGGCATCAGCATGCACATGCAGTGTGAATGCAATTAGCAAGTTAAACAGTACAACTCACCAGCACATCCTGAATCTCACTTTCTGAAAAACCACAGAATGATTCATCATCCGAATCCTCATAAAATATTTTTGCTATCTCCTCTGCAACTTCTGGCTTGAAGCTCCGTTTCTTTAAAAAAGAATAAAGTACACTAGGTGTTTCTATTTTTCTTTCTTGCTCTCTCTCTCTCTCTTTTTTTCAAGAGAACCTATTTTCCATAAACTGTTCAGAGAGCAAATCACATTTTACAAGTGCACTACAAGAGAATAGCTTTTGTAACAAAGAAAAATGTTTCAGGGGGTTTACAAATGGTTTCAGAGCTGTTACAGCAAATCATCAGGCATGTTAGGTTAGGCGACATTTCAAAAGGATAGAATAAGTGGCTAATCTACCTCCAACAATTACTACCTAGAAGCACAAGGGGGAAAGCGAAATGAAATTACAGTACATACTGTATATTCATAACTGCTGTATAGAAATGTAAGCAAAGCATTTTAATCACGGATGGGGCATTTTTCCGCACCGCACATTCGATTCTGTTTATTCTCGCACTTTTTACTTACCGTGTTTGCAAAATTATCAGAGCCAAAACTGTCACAACTGTCATCAGAGGATGAAGAGGTTTCCATGGGGATCAGTTTTGTATTGCGGAATGCTGTGGGCTTCTTCCTTCCCTACAAAATGAAGATGGTAGTTCAATTAGGTTTCTATAATAAGATTAGTTCTCTAGAGCAATCTCACAATGCTTAAACTTGATCACACTAGATAGCGAAGAGCTGTTACATATTAGACTGCATCACAAAGCTAACATTTTCACCATATTTTGCATATTTTGCAGGAGTAAAAATTGGGCATTTTATTTATTAGGCAGAGGGGGCATTTTCACCATATATATTTTCATAGGAAATTTTGGGGCAGAATTCAAGTCCTGCTATCAGAAGCCTTGCATATCAGGACTCCCCCTCCCCTCCCCCCTGTGCATACCATAAAAGGGAGGTCAGGAGAACCCCAAAAACAAGTGCATCAGAAGAGGGGGGGATTGCTTAGTCTGGCGAAATGAAAAACTACCACAGGCTGAATGATTGCCATAGTGCTAAATTGAATTCCTCCCATAATCTTCAAGTGTCTTGTCAACAGTCATTGTAAGGTGTGTGTGTGTGTGTGTGTGTGTGTGTGTGTGTGTGTGTTTTGGGGGGGGGTAATTCAATCATCCAGTCTAAAACAAAGATTTCAGCTGTGTCTTACATTTCTAAAATGTAAAACGTATCTGTCAGTTCCAGTTATTGAAGCAATAGCATGGCAAAAAATAGGAAATGCGCCTTTTCCTTGCTAAGTTTGCCAACCTTATTCATTTGACTGTTTCAGCCAATGGCAGCTGTGCTTTCTCATCCAACCTACTCTTTAACACTCCCAACCACTTCAGCTTATGGCCAGCCATTCATGTGACTCCACTGCCACAAATTTTAATTAACCCAGATTTGGCAGTAGCGTGGCAAATTCAGTCTGTGGCTGCGCAGCTTGGTGCAGCTGAAGAGTTATAGGTAAAGCGGCTCTTATTGCAGGTTACAAGTTTACCTGTCCACCAGGTAAATGAGCCATTATGTGAGTTACTAATCCAACTTTGGAGTTCAGAGGTGTGTTCCACACATAATGCCTGGATATGCAAACTTCAAAAATATCGACATTTTTCTAAAGACATGAACATTTATTGGAAACGAAGACGAACTATTATATGAAACCCTTTTTTGCCCATTTAAGTTTACCTTTGTACATTATCACTTATGCACCGAAGCCTTTCAAGATTTCCTCAAATATCACTCCATCCTTATCAGACTGTCTTCACAATTACTTAACTATTTTATGTAGCCATACATGATAACATTCTGCAGTCTAACTGAAGAAAGGGTTTGGGCTACACACTTGGCTAACACCGCAAGTCCCAGGAAATTCAGTGCATCTTACTCCTACATAAATGTGGTTGTTCACAATAATTGCATTTTTTTTTTATTAAGACAAACACCATCAGATATTTTGTATTCAAAGTGCATGGAGCCAAAACACTTTTTGCAAAGCTCCTGCAAATGATCCAGGATGTTCAACATCAACTATGTCAGAAAACTGTCCAAACCAAGCACACCAGCACAAAACAAAAACACACAGATGAGTGACAATAAAATTAATTGTAAATATGAAGCACAGGATCCTTATATAGTCTACCAGATGAACTCAATGAAGCTTATTTCTGAGTGGACAACAGTTGCGGGCAAATGGGCAAAAGATAGCAGCCCTAGTAATAGTTTTCTCATATCCCTACTAATATCATATAGTTTGGAAAGTGCAAAAGTAATTCCCACTTCATGCAGACCTTTTAAAAAAATGTATAGGATTTCTAAAACTTGAGAGGAACACATCCAAAGCATAGACTTTAGTATAACGTTTATCACTCTAAAGACTCTTCCTCAGATGTGTTCCCCATTCAATTCAATGGAGCTTAACTGTGAGCAGCTAAGTTTAAAATTAGGAGGCAAATAAAGAAAACAGCTGGTGTGGTACAGGGTGAAGGTGTCAACTTTTAGGATAACTGGACTATTAGAAAGCAAGTGTGGTATAGTGGTTAGAGTACAGGGATAGGACTTGGGAGACCAGCTATGAAACTCACGAGTGAACTTTTCATATAAGCCACTCACATATCTCAGTCCAACCTACCTACCTCCCAGGGTCAATGTGAGGCTAAACATGTGGAAGTGAAACACCATATACAGGGTCCTTAGGTCCTTGGAGATAGGGCAGTTTAAAAAAAAAATCCAAGTGGTCAGCATAAGTGAACCACTCAGTAATTAAGAAGTTAATTCTAGTATCTGCACTGTATTAGGTGCTCTGAAAAACATGCAAGTAACACTGTCAGGCCTTGAAGGAATTCCAAGCTAGACCCATGTTTCCCAAAACTTGGCTTTCCAGCTGTTTTTGGACTACAATTCCCATCATCCCTGACCACTGGTCCTGCTATCTAGGGATGATGGGAATTGTAGTTCAAAAAAACATGTGGAGACCCAAGTTTGGGAAACAAGGCATGTTCTGAGCCACATATTTGCTTTGAAATCTGTTCTTCCAATTCCTGAGCTCCATCATGAAGCACAAAGAACCAATAAATTAGCAAAACCTTGCCTGGGACGACTAGACTAGTGACTTTCCTTTCCAATGAGTTACTGTAACCATAATTACACATGCAAGAGTCATAAATCTGGGATTAAGGTGTTTATGGGGGGGGGGAGCCGCTTTTAGGCCTGAAAACAAGCCTCCCAGGCAGGCCAGAGCCTGTTCGTGAGTTAAATGCTGCAAGAAGGCAAAGATTATTCACAAGTTGAGTAAGTACAAATGAGGACTCAATGAATCTCTCCCCGACTCCCCATTTGCTCCAACGGCCGTTTCAGCTGCTTGCGCTGCGGGTTCTACCTCAAAGCAGCTACGTAGACCCCCCCCCCACACACTTTTGCGGAAAGATGGAACTTTACAGAGTTGTATCCACCTTCGCCAGCCCCATAGCTGCCTCCTGGGTCCCCACAGCCCGGGCTGGCAGCGGCCATAAGGAGACATAAAGGGGTGAATCCTAAAGTCCCAGGCGGCTCACGTGGCTGGCGGGCGGGCGGAGAGAAGATAGAAGCGCTATGGGGGAGCGCGCTAAAGAGCGGGAAAAGAGGGGCTCGCCCCCCTCCGCTGCCTTGCGGGGAAGGGAGGGATAAGAGGCCCTCCTCCATCTTTTGCATGAGAGGAGTGGAGTATACGAACGAGATTGCCCCCTGAATTGGCAGTGGTTTTCCTGGTCCCATTTTTCTCCCCAAGAAAGCTTGCAGTTGGAAAAATATCCCGGAACAAGAGGGGAAGTAACACCCGGGGGGGGGGGGGGAGAGACGTTTTGCTATAAAATGTTTGGTCAGGCTGGCGGAAGCACGGCTCCCTATTTAAAAAGCGCACCAAAAATGCACAGCGTTGCTTTTGGCTTACTCCAAAGTGAACCCCAATGAGTTCCACGGGGCCGCCTTCCGAGTCGGCGCGTGCCGTTTTTGCAGGACCCCGGGGCTGCGCGCGCTCTCCCCCCATTCAAAACTGCAGGGGATTCCGGGGGATGCAATGCTTAAAAACATTATGGAAGACCATCAAACACGCTCCCTTCTCCTTGGAAGGGGCCCGGAGAATAAGACACCGGGGTTAAACCAAAACGAGTCGCAGCTTGCCCTAAAAGCCAGCCGCCTTCCTCCACCTATTTCCAGAAATCTCAGGACTGCTCCACAAACTTGTTAGTTGCTAGAACCAAAATAGACACTCCCTGGGTATATTTCTAGCGCATGATTTATTTATTTTTACTTATTATTATTATTCGCTCTTCAGTTCCTACTAAACGTACGCAGGATTGCAGCGTGAAAGGCGCGATCCTGATGCATGAGGAACGCTCGCAGCTGGCATGGCCGCGATCCAAAAGCACGCTTTCATGCCATTGAAAAATAAGAGCAAATAAACAACAAAACGAACAACCCCGGCTATGTTTGCATTTGAAAAAAATCCAGAACACCCCACGTTTCATAGTTCATCGCTTCTTTTAAAGCAGCTTGTGGGACCTTTTCCAACTTAGGGATTTAAAATGCCCGGTGAAGAGCAAACTATATAAAAAAATTAATTAAAAATTGCTGTGGCTGAAAAGGGTCTCGGGAAGCTGCGCCTGTTCTCTTCATCCGCGCAGCCCCCCATCCTATGCATTTTTACTCGCAAGCCAATTCCAGTGATTCCAGCGGAACTTCGTGGCCCCCAAGTCTTAATTCTCACCCCGACGCCCCTACCTGCAGGCCGAAGGGGTCCATGCTGCCGACGGCGGAATTGCCACTCGAAAGGCGCAGCGCGGCCTCTTTCCGCGGGACGCAGGAGCAAAGACCAAACGCTCCGCCGACTCGCGCCAAAGCTGCTCGGGGGCGGGGATTACGCGCAGTTTTCCCCGCCAACTGCTGGAGTCCTGGAAGGTCCAGAAAGAGGTCTTGCCGCATCCTGCTCTTTGCCACGGAGCTCAGGCGCCAGCAAGGTCTTCATTCCCTCTGCAAAGCCCGGAGCCCAAACGCGGATAAACTGCGCGTGACTGCAGAAACTACCTTTCCCCACTTTAAATTTTTTCCCCTCTGGCGTTTTTGTGGTGCTGCAAGGACCTAGCTCAGTGGCGCGAAATAAGCCATGAAGTATTTGCATAGAAGGAAAGGGGAGGGGAGGGGGAGGCCGAGCCGCATGCTCGCCCCGGGAGGAAATTGCTCTCTGCAAGTTTAGAGGAGGTTCTGTTGGCAAGCGGAAACCAAGAGTCACAACTTGAGGTGTGCTTGCTGTAGTGAGCTGTTCTGCAGCTATTCTGGTGTATAAAAGTTGTTTGCACCGTCGCAGGATTGCGGGCAATCCCTCAAAACTATGGGGGGTCTTTACCTTAATTCGCCATGCTGTATTTAATTAGTTCCAGGAAAAGCTGATCGCTGCACCGTCGCTAGTTCATTTTATAGTGATGCAGTCTAAAACAATTAGCTAAAATGGAGTCCCACTTAAAAAAACAAGAAAAAACAGCCGCGCAAAAACATAACGAAAGTAGGGCTAAAATGTTGTTTCATAGGCATACGCAATATGCGTTCCTTCAAACTTATCTTTTGCACATAATTTTATACAAACATAATATCAGACTCCAGCGGTGGTGGTGTGACTTGCTCCACCTATGTGATTATATTTTATTTTTTAAAAAGGCATGCAATTAACATTTGAATACCTTTGGGCTGCAATTCTGTAGCCTATTAAGTCCTGTTGACTTAAGTGAGGCTTACTCCTGAGTAGATGTGCAAAGAAATATGCTGGTTGACCTAGCTTTCAGCAAAAAGTTATGCATTTCATTTGCAATGGTAAAAGTGTAATGCTGAAAGTCTACACACTTCAGAAATGTAGCTAATAGTTCATTATACTGTAAGTGGCTTCAGGGACAACTGCAGAAAGGTACACTTTTCTGTCTTTCATTTTCACCCTTGCTTTTCTAGAACATGATCTTAAGGGCTCACACTCATTTGGAGTTGAGCAAACTCCAGGCCTCGCTGCACGTGTGTGGCGATGTGTGGCACGCACACAAGCCACATAATCTGTAACACGAACCAGGCGTGATCCAGAAAACAGAAATCTTACACAGCCCAAATCACAATAGAAAACCAGGAGTATGTAAACTGTCTGTGGGTTATTATTCCTTGTGGGCATGGTGCAGCAAGCTGACATGTAAAAGAATCAACATTTTAAATAAGCCCTTAATTACATACTTACCTGCACCATTGGCTTCTCAAAGTGCAGGCAAAAGCAAATGAACTGAAAAGAGCTCTCTAGAGACTAGACCGCACTTCATTCTAACAAATCCACTTTAGCTCACAAATGCTTTTCAGATACTGAAGAAAAGTGATTGTTTCCGCTTTTTGGAAAGCTAAAAAAAAAAAAAGTTTGTAAAGTGGAAGGGACAGATAAGAATTGTATTTCAACCAGCTATTGGAAATACTGTGATAATCATGCAGCCAAGATAATAAATTTTAGGTTAAGCAAGATTGACATTTTAAGTGCTGGCTGGATTTTGTTCATAAACTCCAGTGCCTGTGAAGATCTTCAGCTCAGGCCCTGTTTTAGTACAGTGTTTATGTTTATCAGCTGCAATAGGTTCTTTAGAGCTGTTCCCCTCACATCCTAGTTGCAAGGTAAGGCACCCAAACACACCTGTATATCCTACAGCTTTTTCCAAGTGAAAACAGTGACATGCGTTGTTTGTAAGACTCCATTTCTCCTTCCAAAGTTACACTTTACAGCCCTCCTCCACTGTTAAACTAACTACACCGTCAAAGGCTAGTTAATTGCATTTACTCCGCGGTAGCCTGCGAAGTACAGATATAAAAGCCAATAAGGTGTTTGTTTTTTATAAGGCCATAGGATGAGCCCTATCGAATCTGGCAGAGACCTATTTTGTCCTTTATAGTGGTACCTTAGTTCTCAAACTTAATCCGTTCCAAAAGTACGTTCCAAAACCAAAGCGCTCCAAAACCAAGGCACACTTTCCCATAGAAAGTACAGTGATACCTCAGGTTAAGTACTTGATTCGTTCCAGAGATCCGTTCTTAACCTGAAACTGTTCTTAACCTGAAGCACCACTTTAGCTAATGGGGCCTCCTGCTGCCGCTGCGCCGCTAGAGCACGATTTCTGTTCTCATCCTGAAGCAAAGTTCTTAACCTGAAGCACTATTTCTGGGTTAGCGGAGCCTGTAACCTGAAGCGTATGTAACCTGAAGTGTATCTAACCACTGTAATGCAAAACAGATTAATCCGTTCCAGACTTTTAAAAACAACCCCTAAAACAACAATTTAACATGAATTTTACTATCTAACGAGACCATTGATCCATAAAATGAAAGCAATAATCAATGTACTGTACTATAAAATAAATAAGAAAGGATTGTAGATGATAAAAATTAAAATTTGTTCTTACTGGTGATAGTAATTGTTTGGATGGGGGCTTTTATCCATTTCGGCACTCATACAATCAATCAGTAGCTAAACTGGGTTCCACACAATCACAAAAACAAATTAACTGAAAAAGCCTCAAAAACAAAAAACGCAAAATAAATAGCAAAAACAAAAGCGCCAAACTTAATCTGTTCCGGAAGTCTGTTTTACTTTTGAAATGTTCAAAAACCAAGGCGCAGCTTCTGATTGGTGCGGGTGCCCCGGAAGCAATAGCCGACAGTTGCATCGGACATTCGGCTTCCGAAAAAACGTTCCAAAACCAGAAGACTTACTTCCAGGTTTTCGGTGTTTGGGAACCAAGGCGTTGAGTAGCAAGGCGTCTGAGAACCAAGGCACCACTGTATTCTCTTACAACTAGTATTCAGAGAAATGCAACCTCTGACCGTGGAGGTAGAACATAGCCTTCATAGCTTGTAGTCACTGATAGCCTTATTCCCCATGAAGTTCTCTAATCCTCTTAATGCCATCCAAGATTCTTGCATTGCAGGGGGTTGGACTGAACGGCCCTCATGGTCCCTTCCATCTCAACACTTCTACAGTTCTAAGTTGGCTGCCATCACTATACGTTGTGGGAGCGCTTTCTTTTGTCTGCCCCAAATGCTCCATTCTTCAGCTTCATTGGATGACGCCAGTTCTCTCATACCTGTAAGAAAGGGAACCATAGAATTGTAGAGTTGGAAGGGACCACAGGGGTCATCTAAGTCCAATCTCCTGCAGTGCAGGAAACTTTTGCCCAGTGTGGGGCTCGAACCCATGACTTCAAGATCAAGAGTCTCATGCTCTTACCAACTGAGATATCCCAGGATCTACTTTCTTCACACCATGCGTAACTTAATTTTGTACACCTCTGTCATGTTATCCCTTTACTCACTATTCTCTAAACTAAACCCCCCCCAAATATTGTAACCTTTCTAAAATTGGGAAGTTGTTCCAGCACCTTGATCATTTTGGTTGCCCTTTTGTGAAGCTTTTCCAGCTCTACAGTATCCTTTTTAGGTCAGGCAATCAGAACTATACACAGTATAGTTTTGCCACAGATTTGTATAACTGCATTGTGTTATTGCATGGTGACAGCAGTCACGAAATTAAAAGACGCCTGCTTCTTGGAAGAAAAGCAATGACAAACCTAGATAGCATCTTAAAAAGCAGAGACATTACCTTGCCAACAAAGGTCCATATAGTTAAAGCCATGGTTTTCCCAGAAGTGATGTATGGAAGTGAGAGCTGGACCATAAAGAAGGCTGGTCGCCAAAGAATTGATGCTTTTGAATTCTGGTGCTGGAGGAGACACTTGAGAGTCCCATGGACTGCAAGAAGATCAAACCGATCCATTCTTAAGGAAATCAGCCCTGAGTGCTCACTGGAAGGACAGATCCTGAAGCTGAGGCTCCAATACTTTGGCCACCTCATGAGAAGAGAAGACTCCCTGGAAAAGACCCTGATGTTGGGAAAGATTGAGGGCACAAGGAGAAGGGGACGACAGAGGACAAGATGGTTGGTCAGTGTTCTCGAAGCTACGAACATGAGTTTGACCAGTGGAAGACAGGAGTGCCTGGCGTGCTCTGGTCCATGGGGTCACGAAGAGTCGGACACGACTAAACGACTAAACAACATTGTGTTATTGGCACTTTTTCTTTCTATCTGTTTCCTAATAATCCCAAGCATGGCGTTTACCTTTTGCACTGAGTCAGCATCTTGATAAAGCTATTCAATGTCTCATTCCTGGTCGGTCACCATCAAGTCAGGTGAAATTATATGTGAAATTAGGGTCCGTCCCTGCCGTGTGCATCACTTTGTACTTTCTTACATGAAGCTGCATTGATGTTAAAGATGCACTAGTGGAACATGATTGTTGTGAAATATATTATTAGCAATTCAAAATATAATTTAGTAGGATGAGGGCTAACATTTTTGGAGCATTAAAAGAACACATTACAGTTCAGTACCTCTTAGGCTGCAGAAGACATTTACCTATTCCATTCTGTGCCTTTATGGATATGGTATTCTGGGTTATTGTCAACCCCTGGTTAGTTACACAAGTTATATACTAAGGTAAAGGTAAAGGACCTCTGAACGGTTAAGTCCAGTCAAAGGCGACTATGGGGTGCAGCATTCATCTCGCTTTTCTGGCCGAGGGAGCCAGCGTTTGTCTACAGACAGCTTTCTGGGTCATGTGCGCAGCATGACTAAACCACTTCTGGAGCAACAGGACACCGGGACAGAAGCCAGAGCGCACGGAAACACCGTTTACCTTCACACCACAGTGGTACCTATTTATCTACTTGCACTGGTATGCTTTCAAACTGCTAAGTTGGCAGAAGCTGGGAAAGAACAACGGGAGCTCACTCTATCGTGAGGATTTGAACCACTGACCTTCTGATCAGCAATCCCAAGAGGCTCAGTGGTTTAGACCACAGCACCACACACTTCCCTGCAGTTATATACTAGTCCATCCCCACAAGTAATTTCTTGAAAAGCTGCACCAAATAACCCATCCAGTTATGAGAATCTCCAGCTATATGTTATGTATTCCAGTCCCCTTGAATTAGAGAGGTTGTATGTCAGTTTTGAAATATTTTTTACTTTACTGTTCTTTATTTGTTTTCCTGCCATAAATAAGTCCTGCACCACTCTGGGGTGGCTTGACAAATTGTTTTGAGCTGTTCACTCAGAAAATGGAAAGATGCAGACCTTAAACATACAAAACTATTTTAGATTTCTGGAGACATCTTCATTATGCTGTGTTTTACTTGTGAAAAATATCTAAAGACTTAAGAGGTTTTTAAACCACTGCTCCCCCCCCCCCCCCCCGGCGCAGGTAAAGAAGAAAAGGTTGCTTACTTACCTGAAAAAGTGTAACAATTAGGGTAAAGATAATCACAAGTAGACTTTTAAAAAGATATTAAAATGCCTGTCTTTTGAAGCCCAAACTCAATGTTCTTGAAAGCACGATGTTCGAAGGCTGAGGTTTCATTCTCCCAAACATCAATGGAGTTAGACAGGGGAATTGTTCTAAGCAGAGCAACATACAGAGGTCATTGTTTTGAGGGATTTCTCACAGGAGGAAAGGGAAGAACAAAGTATGTTTGAGCAACTTCACCTCATTAAATCAGCTCAGCAAGTTGCTGGATAATGGTCAGTGGATGGTGGTTTTGATGTCTGCCCACATTGAGTACCTACTAGCACTGCTGCCAGTGATTGTCATACATGGTGAGTTGTACTAGAGAGAGGCACTAGGAATGGGTCACAAGGAGATAAAATTAAAGCAATTCACTTTCCTGTGGGCAGGAAGGAGTGATGGACATAATATGCCAACTATGAATCAGAGAGAGAGAGAGAGAGAGAGAGAGAGAGAGAGAGAGAGAGAGAGAGAGAATAGTGGGAGAGAATAGTTAGAAAAACTCAGGTCATAAATAGTTTGGGTTTTATAGTGTGACCAGGGCTGTTGCTCAGCTGAAGAAATCCATGTTCATTAATTATAGTAGCAGACTAATTGACCTGATTTGCATACAGTTGTATATAAGTAAAAGCAGTAGTTTGGAAACAGAAAAAAAAGAAAGAATAGTGAACATTTTAGGTTAGTATCATTCAACTAAGGGGAAAGCATTAAAATTAAGGGCATGGTGGTTTTCTTTAGAAAATGTAAGGGCGCCAGCATATCTGGTTAGTTTGTTAGAAACTAAAATGGTTTATATCTGTAGTATCTAAATTTCTGCCCCCTGACCACTTGAAAATTGCTGAGGGTCTTTGGCAGACCACTTAATGATTTTTTTCCCCTGCCTGTTGCAGCAATTGTAATGCGCTGTGCTGCATGCTGTACGTATGGCTTTTAATTGTGTTTTTATTGCTTCTTGGTAACCCCAGGTTTACAGGCGTTAGTTATTCTAATATTATTTCACCAAAACAAGCAGCAGCAATGCATTGGCACTGAAATTCAGTAGTTCGTAGCATTTTTATACAGACTGCTGTTATTTTTAATAGCACATCAGAGTTCAGTCATATTATTATATTGCGTGCGCCCCAATCTCCGAGCAGTAAGAGATTTCAGAGTTTGGTTTCCTTGGAATCTAGGTGACTGAAAACAGTGGGGTCTTTGGGACATGCAGTTTTATTTACCCACATATGCACACAGGCCACACTTAAGATGGAAGTGTTCACAGCACGAACACCCCAACAGATCTTGCTCCCCCGTTAGGTTTTGGGGTGAAGGGATCCATAGCTGTAGATTCAGCACAGAGAGAAATGCAAGTTTCTGTGTGTCCCGGTGCCAACACCACATGAACCTAGACAAGACTGGTCCCTGACCTATTGTCCTACATTCAGGGTGACATCAGCTCAAGCAGGTGAGGAGAAAGACCTGTTCCCTTCTTCTGGAAACATCACTAGTAGTTTCTACTAGTATGTTTCTGTGCACCTGTACTTGGCCATCTATCTAGACAGATAAACGATGGCTAGGGCCATTAGCTTAATAAAGAGACTGACTGGATCACTTCAGCAGTTCCTCTTGCTTCAGAATTCTGTCTTAAAGATATAAATCCATATACTTGGAGGGGATCCAGACTATCCCACCAATCCTATAACAGCATTCCAGCTTCTAGGATCAAGCTCTGCTTCTGCTTCCCATTGCCACCGACCTATTGAAAACAAGCCATTTTGGCAGCATGGTGGTACAGTGGAACCTTGGTTCTCGAACGTCTCTGTTGACGAACGTTTCGGAACCCGAACGCCGAAAACCCGGAAGTAACTGCTTAGGTTTTCAAACGATTTTTGAAAGCCAAACATGCTAAGCGGCTTCCATTTTGTGTTTCCCTATTGAATTGAGCCTTCCGCTTTCAGTTTTTGAACATTTCGGAAGTCGAACGGTCTTCCGGAACGGATTACATTTGAAACCACGGTTCCAATGTACAGCTGTAAGAGCATCACATTAGCAACAAAACCAGGTAACTAATCTCTCTGGTATCTCTTTCAAATCTCAATTGTTGACTGAGTGAAAGCAACAGAATATTACCTATGTATGTGTATGTTCACTAACTAGGAACACTACAAAACATTATTAGTTGATATATACCGCCCTATATCCAGAGGTCTCAGGGCGGTTCATAGGAACACTACAAAACATTATTATTATTATTATTATTAGTTATATATCGCCCTATACCCAGAGGTCTCAGGGCGGTCCACAGAACAAAACCGAAAACCACAAAATATATAATCAAAATAAAAACAACCCAACAAAAACCCAAAACATTCTCCCACCCAGTAACATTGGAAGATTCATATGAAAAGAAAGCACTGGCACACCCACACCAAACATTTAAAGTATGGCTCCCCCCCCCTAAAAATCATGGGAACTGTAGTTTAACCATACAGAGCTACACTTTCTAGCACCCTTAACAAACTACAGTTCCCATGATTCTTGGAGTAGAGTCATGTGCTTTAAATATGACTTAAATGTATGGGGTGCATGTGACCTGTGACACAGGTTTCCCACACTAATGGGAACTACACACAGCTGGGGGTGACCAAAAGCGAAGGAGAACTGAGCTACTGTGCCTTAAATACAGTAAAGGGGATTTACTGCATGCAACATTTCTGACTTTTACAACGAATGGGGAGCCTTTGGTATTCCAGATGTTATTGAACGACAGCTCCTATCAACACTGACCATTGGCCATGCTAAGTGGGAATGGTGGGAGATTATTGTTGTTGTTGTTGTCCAAAAATGTCTGGAGAGTCACAGATTTCTCATCTTGTAATCATGGCAAATGGCAGCTTCTGAATTTCCTCTTCTGCATAATTATTAGAGTCACAAGACCCCATCCTTCTTTGTTTCTGGCCACCCCACATTTAAACCTTGCTAAATGTATTATAAATGTACTGTAATAACATATTTCCTTCATATGTTTTCAGGGCCTCAAGGGCTTTCAAGCTACTTAATGTGAATCCACTAATTAAAACAAGTTCTTAACCGGGGTTTTATTCAAAATATTTTTCAAAAAAATGTATTGTCTCATGAAAATATGATCACTTCCCACTTTATTATCTCTCCTTTTACTATGCTGGAGTTGTTTTAAAGCATTTTCCCCCCTCAGCCCTCACAATTTGTTTTTCTCCCTTTTGCTCAGTTTTCTTCTTGTTTTAACAGTGATTCCAACAGAGGATGGTGATTTCCAGCCAATCACTGCTGTGCGATTGTTCAGTTTTAATAAGTGTGATCAATACCATCAGCTTTCGCCTTTAAATGCTAATGAATGCTTTAAGAGAGCAGATGTGGACACACAGTAGAGTGTAGATTAAAATTAGGCACAGAATTAAATTGCTTACAAACAGCAAAGGAATCCATTTGGACATTCTTAATAACCAACTGCAGCAAGCTGGTGAAGCCTCAGGACCGCTGCTAAAAAAACCCCAAACCAAGCAAACCCAACCCTCACACATTCAATATCAAAATATGCAAAACATTCATAATTATACATGTTTTGATGCAAATTTATATGGAACCCCTAGGAACCTATTTTTCATGGCACCTGTTAACTTGGCTTGGCAGGTTCCAAGGTGAGAAAGGCCTGAGCGGAACAGCAGCGAACCCAGCAGAATTAAGTGTATTAGCCTGGCCTCTTCTAATGGGGTGACAAAGGACATGGACACCTCTGATATACAGCTGTTCCTTCCACCAGCCCTGCCCCAGCAAGTCCAGAGAGGACAACCCTGCTTTCAAGAATGTTTTAACAGTGGGAAATGCATTTCCAGTCGCGACAGTAGGCAGATTTGTCTGTAGCGCTTCAGAATACATAAACGGCATAAATAATCTGAAAAATTTGAAGCGAAAGAGCTGAGCTAGAACGTTTTGGGTCAACGTCCCCCGCACTAGGCCTTACAATTTTTTATTTTAAATGTGGGGGGAAACATTCAAAACTTGTATCCCCTTAGGTAGTTTGAAATGGCATAGTTTAGCTGTTTGTAAGGTGGATAAAAGTGGCTAGCTGGAAGAATGGTCTAACGACAAGTGAAGGATGCCAAGTGGACTCTAAATAAGAAATGATGCGGCTATGTGAGGAAATGAGGATGACCGTATGCTTGGAACCGGAGCAGGAAACCTGATTTTAAGAAATTGTATTAAATTAAATTAATTTTGTTTGATTTGTAATAATTTGGAAAAATAATAAAAATAACTTGAAATGGCATAGTTCGCTCTTCCAATTTGGGATTCTTCTCTTATTTTGCTTCACGTATAGGCTAAGGCTGGGTACACACTAGCTGATTTGTAGCACACAAAAATATAGCTTTCCTCAATCCAGAAGCATTCGTTCTCATTCCAAACACATTGTTTCCAATCTAGATTGGCTTTAGATCCCATCACCCACAAGTGTGGGTATGGTTACTTGATACACATTTGAAAACTCTCCCCTTGGTTAGGTAATCTACACCTTTTTCTCCCCTCACCTGCCCCAGGTGAATTATGATCCTGGTATAAACCCGTCTGCATTGTCATTGGGCAGATGTAGGTACAGCCACTCCACTGGCTTTCAAACTGACACACTGTGAGCTAACACAGAATCCATCAGCAACGAGCTTATATTTTTGGAAAAACCACTTCCTCAATAAGTACTTTTCAGGGGCAAAAAAAGAAGCAATGTCTAGTCTAGAGCGTGGGGGCTACACTGGAAAAACAAGTACAGCACTACCTTGGTACTCAAACGGCTTGGCTCCCGAACACCACAAACCCGGAAGCGTTCTGGTTTGCGAACGTTTTTCAGAATCCAAACGTCCCGCAGCTTCCAACTGAGTGCAAGAAGCTCCTGCAGCCGACCAGAAACCGCGCCTTGGTTTTAGAGCCGTTTCGGGATTTGAACAGACTCCCGGAACGGATTAAGTTCAAGAACAAGGTGCCACTGTACAGTGGTACCTCAGGTTAAGTACTTAATTCGCTCCAGAGGTCTGGAGAACCTGAAACTGTTCTTAACCTGAAGCACCACTTTAGCTAATGGGGCCTCCTGCTGCTGGCGCACTGCCGGAGCACGATTTCTGTTCTCATCCTGAAGCAAAGTTCTTAACCCGAGGTACTATTTCTGGGTTAGCGGAGTCTGTAACCTGAAGCGTATGTAACCTGAAGCGTATGTAACCCGATGTACCACTGTACTTGGCCTCCACTGAGGGTAGAACAAAACGCCATGTGTACGCAGCCTAGGCCTCCATTTCCCTAAGTTTCAAATAAAAGTTTAGCCGCATGATAAAGCTGCTTTCATGGGAAGCTGACCATGCAGAATCCTAAAGTCCTCCCCTCTCCTGTAACAATCCCAAAAGGTAGGTTAGTGGCTTGAAGTGTTGGCTTAACCTTTGCTTTTCTCCTTGCCCTCTAAGTAGCAGCCATCTGTTACAGAAAGCAGCTATCTCTGGCAACCCCTGCCGAGTATGTGTAACCCACTGCCGTACATTGCCTTAACAAGGCTGTACATGCTCAGTGGGAGAAGCAGGGAGCAGGCCCACTGCAGGCACCTAGCTCATTAGCTCAGAACAGTTTGGATGATGCCTGTTGTCTCCTATTTGTAAAGCCCTAAACCCTTAAGGACAAGGTCAGGACTGAGGTTTCCCTTAAAGTTTTAAAGCAACTTACGGATTTCCACAGAGCTGCAAATTCCTTGTTCTGCTGACGTTTTCTATCTTATAAAGGGCTGCAAGTTTTTAGTTCCTTATTGCCAATCTGAGAGAACTGCTGTGGAGCTGAGGTGACCCAGAAATAGAGGCCGTTTCCATTCTGGCCAGGAAGACAAAACCCTAGAGACAAAACTTTGAAAGGATGGAGCTCTGCTTTAGTAATCTGATGACACTTAATGTATACATCGTCTATGCAACCTTTATGTACTGCTGTTTGATGTGAGATAGTTTTATGTTATGAATCCTTTGCTGCGAGTCCCTTCAGAGACCTCTGCAGACTAAAGGATGTTAAGAATCATACAAAATAAATACTTAAAATAGTTATATACGTGTGAATCTGTGCTGTGTGATTGAGAATTCTTGAATAAATGGAAGCAAGTCATTTCTCAAAACTTGGTCTCTGTGCTTTCCCCTCTTCTGTTTCTGGGTTGGATTTATGGCAGCAGGGCACACCATCTTACTGAGAGCTAGGAAGGTTTTATTTTCTTTTAAAAATCTTCCAGTGTACTGCAAGGAGGGGGAGAACAGATTTGGGAAATACGGAGTAACTGCTCCACATATACATACCACTTCAAAATCAAAAGATTTGAAAATAAACCCTCAAACCATTTCCTTTTCATAACGGACTGATGCGGGTGAATATGCTAAGCTTTGTTTTCTGTTTATACAGAGTTAAAAATTTCATTGCCAAAGTCAACAAGAAACATTGTCCAATCCAAAGCATGTTTACTCAGACAAAAGTAACATTTAATGCAGTGGGACTTACTTTCGTGTTCAGGACCACAGTCTTAGAAGACAAATCCCTCCCCAAAGGTACCTCAGTAGAATTATAGCATGTATTAACAGTAGTTTATAAGGCTGGGTACAATTAAAATGCAATTAATAAAAAACATTTGCCATATGTTAATAAATAGTCATACCAAAACAATAAAAAAATAAAACAAGAGCGATCAAGGCTATTTTTTTTCTATTTTGTTTGCTCTTCTCTGCAGAATATACAGTATTAAATTATTTCATGATCGTAAGAATTAGTCCAAAGGAAATATGTGGGGACTGCATCTTTAAATGGAGGACTGGGGTTCCCCCATCACCAGAGAGGAGCCTGGGTAGGCTGCAGTGAGCAGATCGGGAGAAAAAAACTCCACAGGACAGGATATTGTAATGAGAGCTGCATAAGTAAGGAAAGGATAACCTTTCCAGTCACATTTTTTTCCAGCCATTGTGTTGCGGGTGGGAGGCAGTTGTGTTTTGTGGTCCTATCCCTACAGGATCAGACTGAAACTATGGTTATTTCCTAATTTAACACTTGTGGAAGTATTAAGTTAAAATCATGAGCACCCAACTGGAAGCAAAGAGAACTTGCAGCATGTGACTATTCACAATGCAAACAATAGCATCCTATTCACCAGGCTGCAGTGAGTAGAAACCCCAACAACCCATGCTTGTCGTGGACTTGTGGGTTTGATCTCCATGAGAGGTAATGTATTCATGTTCAATAGCGCTAGTCTCACATTCATTGTCAGGCGAATCTTTAAAAACACCCCCCACACCTTTCTCTGTAGAAACTAAATGTCCAAAAGAATAAAATAAAACCAATTTCTCAAAAAAACATCAATGGACTTTCTTCTGGCTGGCTCCAGTTCCTTTTGCCTTCTCTTCTCTTTGTTTGCCAACGATATGCCGATGAGACTTTTTCGAATAATCAACTTTGGTCCATCCGCCTTCACCAACTTTGCTTCCCTCTTCCTCTTCTATTTTGGGTTTGCTTTCAGTTTTCAAAGGCATCCCTGGTATCAACTTGGGCTGCTGGGGGTAATGAGGAGACTTCCTGTCATGTGACCTTGATGAGTGTTGACTGTACGTTGGCTGGGAATGCCTGCGGAATTTCTCTGGGTTCTTAGCAGCTGCCTGAGCACCTCCCGAACCCCTTGCAAAGCGCCTTCCGCTTCCTGACACACTACGAGAGTCGCCGCTGTGGTAGCTGTGCCTGCTTTTAGTTTTGGACCTGTCTCTTTCCGAAGGGCTATCTGAAGCTGCGCTGGAGGTGCTGCTTCCCTTTGAGTTCAAATGCAGTGATGATAAATACGGTGTGGGAGACGATCCTCTCGACTGACTCAGAGAAGTGATCTGATAGGTTACAGGAACCTGGGTCCGTCTCACGGCGGCAGCGTAGGTGCCTTGGTCCTGAAGGTACGGCAAAAAACCGTTAGGGCTGTGAGGGCGGGAACGTTGGAGAGAAGGGCTGCTGGTCACTCGGCGCAGTTTCAGTGCATTCATCCACTGGGCATCAATACCTGAAAGAAAAACAGAGGGCATCAGTTTTGAATTCTTTCTGAGGAAGCACCAAAAGTAAGGGCTGTCCATGACTTCGCATAGGTGCCGGTGTCTTGTTATCTGTGGGGTGCCTGGCCATGTCACAGTCTGACAGGCAGGGCAGTTGGTTCGCAGGTTGGAGAGAGAAAGAGTGAGAGGCTTAGCTCACTTGCAGTTAGTTTCTTTATGAAGGGAAACAAAACAAAGAATTTACAGCGATTTCTAATGGGTAAGGGACGCAGGTGGCATTGTGGGTTAAACCACAGAGCCTAGGAGTTGCCGATCAGAAGGTTGGCGGTTCGAATCCCCGCAACGGTGAGCTCACTCTCTGCGCCTGCCAACCTAGCAGTTTGAAAGCACGTCAACATGCAAGTAGATAAATAGGCCACGACTGGACCTAATGGTCAGGGGTCCCTTTACCTTTACTAATGGGTAAAACTGTCTAAACGAAGACGTTGTTTGGACTGGTTTGCAGCCCCTCCTTAGCATTCCCTAGCACTCGGTATCAGGCCTCTCTTTCTGTGATTATTTGTTACGGCGACCTACATGGGAATCCCTCTGTGTCTGCCTGGCTTGCTGTTCGGCAACATGCAGCTACAGCCACCTCGTTCTAGGAGTGGAAGGGGAAGGCAGGCTGTCAGTAGAGAAGCTGTCAGAGGGCGTGGTCTTTCTCCTCTCTATCGTTGCTGCAGATTGTGAAGCTGAGGCTCCAATACTTTGGCCACCTCATAAGAAGAGAAGACTCCCTGGAAAAGACCCTGATGTTGGGAAAGATGGAGGGCACAAGGAGAAGGGGACGACAGAGGACGAGATGGTTGGATAGTGTTCTCGAAGCTACCAGCATGAGTTTGACCAAACTGCGGGAGGCAGTGGAAGACAGAAGTGCCTGGCGTGCTCTGGTCCATGGGGTCATGAAGAGTCGGACACGACTAAACAACTAAACAACAACAACAATCGTTGCTGCCAGTGCCTCCATCCAAACTAGGAACCCCATCCCCCTGTCCTGTGCTGGGGCACCTGTCTGCTCCCATCTCTTTGCTGTCCCTCAAGCTCCATGCTTCCAGCACTTCCCAGCTTGTCCTCGCCTGTGTGACTGGTGTCCCACCATCAATTGCCAGGTTCGAAATCCTCTTCCTCTGCATCTTCCCTGTGGGGCTCTTGGTTGGGCAGATTCCACCACTCTTCCTCATCCAGTTAGTCCCTGACAGGCCATCAA